TCTCTTTAATTTTAATTAATTATAAATATTTATACATTCCACAACCATATTTTATTTAATTATTTAGAGTAACACTTATTTTAGGTAAATAAGTTTGATCGAAAACAGTTAGTTTAACTTATTCAAAAAGATGCATTTTATTACACTAGTTATTTCATTATTATATTTTTTCATAGATAATTTGTAACTTGATAGATGGTAGCATGTACCTTCAAAAATAAATAAAGACGATCTCTTCAACTAACAGTTTAATTATACTAACTTATCTACTAATTATGATGAATGACTATTAATAATAATAATTGATTTGAAGTGTTATAGGTACAAGTTAAAACATTCTAAAATTTCTTCATTTATGCACATGTGCATCTAAACATTATAAATAAATCGTCGATGTTTGTTGATTATTTTCTTTCTAAAATGGACAGTCAGTAGCAGTTCTGTTTACGGGAACTGAGTTATCCCAACTGGCAAAAAAGAAGTTTCCAGATTTTAATTCGCTAAAATGATATTTTTCAATGAACTTCTTAGTTGAAAAATAAGGTCTGGAAGTTCTGCACGACCCATTTACATAAGGCTCGCTGTTAAAATTCTCGTATCCCGATTGTTCGAAAAGCATGAAAACGTATCTGTGTAGGCCGGTATTTATTGGGGGAGCGGGTCTAAAGTAATCCTTGAGGACTGTTCCTTGAGATAAATTTTCACCGGGAATATTTACAACGAGCCAATGGCAAAATTCTCTCCTAGTGGGATTTTTTCTGCTGGGTGCATCGGGATCGGTCATTATTAAGCTGAAGTACGAATTCGAATTAAGATTATCAAGGAGTACATGAGGACTTTGTAGAGTATATTTCGGTTCTATTTCATTTCCAAGGTCAACACGTATCTTACTGGAATTGTCGGAAATAGTGTAAGTTACGTTGAGATAACCTTTTGGTGGATATGAGATAACGTCGGGGATAATTTCGTTTTCTTCGAATTTCTGGAATGAAAATCTTTAAATAATTTTTAAAGAATGCCTACTCAATATTATTTATAGCTTATGAGAATGAGACACGGAAACACTAAAATTTGCCAGAAGCCAAAATATCTAACTTTGAAAACTGCACGCTTTTTTTGTAGACGTAAATCGCCAAAAGATGTGCGTGAGCTACAGAGATTTATTCTTTTTCTTGTAATGATCTGCAGATTCTAGATTGATAGTTAGACCAATGAATAAACTTATTCTTTGTTAGAGCTAGTTAGCGTTAGTATGGCGTAACTATGTTTGATAGTTTATATTAGACCATAATTATCTTCTATTGATAACTTTTCAAATAACAAGTTAAAATTTTATAAAAGCGCGTGCAGTTGTTTATTTTTCAAATGGGTTTCGAAAAATTACTCAAAATAATTTTTTTTCAATAAAAATTTTTTTTGCAACTTGTACATTTTTTTAACAAGAACCAATTATTTATCTGCAGTGTGACAAGCATGAAAAACACTAAAATTGTCCATAATAATATTAATTAACTACAAATTACGTTGTATATTCATAAATATATGTATTTGACATTACATTTTTTGGCATTTCAATGCTGATATTGTAAAATTTTTGAAGAGATGTAGCTACTTATTTGATGGAAACTACACTACTTAAATTGTCTAAAATGTCTTAAACTATGCTACAAAAAGATTCCTGAATTTCAAGAAAAAAAAATGTGTTTAAAAAAATGTTTCTGTAACCGTTTTTATAAAAAAATGGTGCACTTGCTATAAGTCACATAAGCCATGTATGTAAAAAAATTTGCAAAACCGAACAATAGGTAATTTAGGTAAACATTTAAGAACTAACAATAAAAGAATTAAACAATCAACAATAGAAATTTGATTTATAATGGCAATAGGTATTAAATTTCTTTACCAACCACCACATCTTTATGGAAATGCTGAAGTATCAGCATGCATCATTTTTAATTTGCTTTACAAGAAAGTTAGCTAACTTTTTTTACAAGTAAATTAACTACCTTGCTTAACAAGGAAAAATATTAACTTGCTTTATAAGCGAAAATGGTATGGGAGGGAAGGAAAACTAGGAAATGAGTTAACATAAAAATAGGGGAAGTCCCTGATTTTTCAGACTTAATTTAGGAAGTCGGAGAAGTCAGGTCGGGGGGCAACTTTTTCCAAAACAATCTTTATATCGGGCTATGGAACGAAAAAACGAGTATTTTGCAAGTTTGAAGTTTTCTAAAAAAATAGTATCTAAAAGTCATGAGTCGCACTCTTTTAGGTATACAGAAATATCTCCTTTCTTCGTCCTTTACAACGAAGTGTAGGTAGGCTCCAAAAAATCCCGGATATTAGCGCAGAACTGACCTTTGTATTTCCCACAGCCAGGACTATAAGTTTGAATTTACTTCATGTAAATAAATATATGTATTATCTCATTGAATGTGTTAATTATATTTCTTATCTATTAAAAAAATGATGCCTTCAAGACTCAATATTTTTAAAATATCTATGTGCCTTCTTGTTCATAAGTTTTTGCCTTTAATTAACTTAATGACATTTATAATTTTAATGATACAAGTACAACCATAATATATTTATATGCAAATAGAACGTACGATGAACCATAACATACAATATAACTTTGTGACCTTTTATTCGAAAGTGATGCGCATTTGGTTTTGTTTACAAAGGATAAATTTATCAGAATTCAGTATCTGTCTAAGTAAGTTTGTGAGTATAAATACAATGAATACATCTTCACAAGAGCAAGCATAAAAGCGCTCGCGAGAATTAAATTTCGTTATTTTCGTTCGTATTAGTACATTGATTAAATATAATATAAGTACTTAATCATGGTGATTGACGACAAAACTTACGCCGCTAATAAGCTGAATAAAATGGCTTGTTCAGAGTACAGTTTGAAGCAGTTCAGGATGTGTAAGTAGTACAGAATACATATAATACATACACGTATTCGTTTACGTACGTAATATATAGGTATCCACATAGTATAATTTTATGCTTTTTGCATGTGCAATTCAATTTTTTATTGGTAATCGTGAGTCGTGAGTAGACATAAATAATTTAATTATTATATTACCTGTTCGACATTTGCTCGAATTGCATGTAATTGTAGAAACGTAAAAATTAAACAAAACTGAAAAACTGCGGTCATCTTTTACTTACGGCTGTCACTTACTATAAAACTCGTTCTGCCACACATTTCTCTTTACCTACTCATTAACCTAGTATCGTGCTAACACACATGCCATTAAAATTATTATTGTACTTATATAACAAAACAATTATTTTCGTTTTCCGGTTAACCACGGCGAAAACTGAACTTCTATATATTCATGTAAAAAATGCGATATATAATTTTAAATAACAATATCAATTTTCACGTGATCTTATTTGTGATTTCAAATATTATTAAATATTACAATTTAGTTTGTACTATCGATTAATTTCGATTTGTTTAGATGATCAACTTTCTAATTTTTATCATTTTTGCCTTCGAAGCGACGAGCTACCTGGCTAAATTTAAATTTCTCGTTGATACTTAGGTATGCCTCTATTTTGTTTTCTTCATGCAGAAACTCTATCATTGAAGTACGTAATATTTTTTGGAATTTTTGAGACTTATAATTTTATACCTGCAGTGAATTTTAGACTAACCATTAAGAATTCCCCTATATCTATTACTTTTTATTATTCTTTGTTAACAAAATGTATTCTGTTGGCTTTTTTTTTTAATTTTATGCGCTGTATTTAAAGGATGAATATGTCTTTTCATTTTCATTAACAGAAGTGGGAAATGTGGAAACAAAAAAAATAGATGTCTTTCTGGTTTTGTATTGAATCTTTTTAGTTATACAAAAATTATTAATTTATGACAAGTTTAGGAAGTGGACAGGAACGTAAAGAGTTCTTTTTGAATGAACCAAAGATTAAGCTCCATGTAACGAAAGACACCTTGAGTTCCCGTAAAAATGACAAAGTAAAACCGCAAGTAAGGAAAAGTAATGTCTCAGACGGTATATTTATTTTCTCCTCTGTGACGTATACGTGTATACGGTCAGGAAGGGAAATTTTCTTGGATAAGTAATGTAGCAATCACCCTCATTCTTCGATTTAAGCAAAGTATTTTGCACAGGGACCTAGTTACCGGTGAGTTCGAGTGCGCCAAGGACCATGCATTGAAAGATTTAGTTCATGTGCTGGCTGCATTCAGATTCGCAAAACCCAATCTGCATGGACTTTTTATTAAATGAGGCAAAAATATCCATTAATAAATAAACGATGAACATGATTGTTATGTTGCTCACTCAAAAAAATTTCACTTCCTGGCAGAAGGGTGGTGAAAAATTGCATACAAAAGGAGAGGAAATTATTATCACGGAACTCATGACTTTCTTGAGTTATGTGAAATTATACTTGTGGTTTTCCAAGGTGTCTTCGGCTTTCACAGAACTTAAAATCTACAACTACAATAATCTATAGTTATGTACCCGATTTTGCTTCGCTAATCGCAAATAAAAATTCCATTAGCGTAAAATTATGTGTACGTTTATGTCATGTTTATGGTTTAATATTTTCATTTTTATGGAATTCCTAATGCGATGTTTAATGTTCGTGGTTTCAAAGTTTCATTTTTACAAAAACTCAAAGCGTCTTGGGTTATGTAAAATTGAGAGCTGACCGTTTTAAATGTTACCCTTTGTGTCACGTCGGGTTGAGTTAATAGGTACGCAATGGTGAAACAAAGCCTTCTGAAATGTATTTTTTGACTGCTAATATTGTGGTACATATATTTTTTTATTTTAAATTCAGCTGAAGATAGTGATAACCTAAATTTAATGAACACGTGCGTTCGATGTGGACGGGTTTAACTAATAAAGTAATAACGAGAAAGAATTGTTATATTTTACCCCACCCCTTTTATTATCAACGACTTAATAATAAAGATAATTAATTTGATGTGAAATTCAGGTTAATTTTTTTTATAGTAAATGCAACATTAACATTGAACGGTATGGCAGCTGTTATTCCTGCTGTATCAAAATTGTCTTCGAGAGTTATAAGAATCCTGGGATGTAATCCAAGTCCGATGACTTTGCAAGGGACCAATACTTATATTGTTGGTACCGGTAAAAGGTAAGCATTTAAAATCCCTAAAAAATTTTAACGTCAACATATTATAAAAGAGAAGATATACATTGAATTTATATTTATTTTTTAATTTAAATGCAGGTTTATTTGTCTACTATTTGATATTTTTTAAACATGCGTTTGATATGTTTTCTGATAGTTACCTACATTTTGAAATTGAATAAAAACATGAATACGAATTTAAAACTTCAACCTAATAAAAAATAATAAGCATTTCAATTAATTAATCTTATTTTCATTGATACAATTACAGTGCTACGTAAAAGTAGTTAAGACGTCAGAAGATCATTTGCATGATACGTGAAATATTTAGAATATGCATAAGTTAAAATATTTTTATAGCGCGAAATGTAAAATAAAATTAATGGCAAGTTTGTTGTTAATTAGTAAATTATTTTGTACACAAAGGATCATATCATCCTCCTTGTATCGGTTTAAAAGAGTTTATAGTGTAGATGACCTAGGAAGGTCATAAAATTAAAAATGATAAGAATCCAGTTAATTCCGGTTAAAATTCAAAGGTCAGTTTAGCGTAGACGTGGTTAGTCGGACATTGTACATATTTTATTATCTACAAAATTAATCGCCCGTTTCAGAAGAATATTAAATAATCTTAAAATATGTCATACTTTAACGTAAATAGTTATATAATTTTTATGATAACAGTAATATACTATACTGATGGAATGCATTCTTTTTTTTTCTAAAACTGAATTGTATGCTATTCTACTTCAAATTAATGTAAATTAAAAATTATTCTTCGATTTGTTGTTACATCTTTTTTAAACTGACATCAATCATTTTACAAAAGTCAAGAAAAATAGTTTTTTTTTATCGTATAAGTAATTCTACATATAACTTATGAATATTGATGTACTTCTTGTATGGCTTTTTAGAATTTAGTTTCGTGTTATTTCAAGTTGTATGAGTGTTATCTTTTATTTTGTTTTCTAGTTTTTCCCTTTGAAATCGTATTGTTGAATAAAGATTTTGTACAAAGACATACGAAAGTAGAAACAATGATTATTTTAATGTACTTTTCATTTTACGATTAGTTCTTAAACATTATTGTATTTCTAGGCGAATTTTAATTGATACGGGAGATGCTAATGTACCCCAATATTTGAATCATTTACAATCTGTTCTGCACGACGAAGGAATCGACATTTCTCATATTTTAATATCTCATTGGCACCACGATCATATGGGAGGCGTAAAAGATGTTTTGGAGCTTCAGGAAAAGTCTGGTATGTTTTTTATAAGTAACATTTTAGCCAAAAAAAAAATTAGATAAGTAACAAAAACAGTCATTAACACGTTAAACAAACATCAACAAAAGATAAAAATAAAGTTTGGGTTATTTTATAGTATGTGCTACTTAACACATAAGAAAGTGAGAAACATACGTATTACTGCAAAAAAATAAGACAAACAAAAACAGATAAATAATTAGTCATAAAAATATTAATAACGGATAACGACATAAATTTTAGATGTTTTTGTTTAATTAATCTATCATATGCATAAATTTAGTACAAAAGTATCATCATCAATTAGTAATACCACAATTAATTAATTTACAAAAATAATAATAAAGTGAAATATTTTATCTATACATAGCTAGATTTTTTATATCGTAAATACTAGTAGTCATGGAAAAAGCTCAAGCAAGTATTGATACGTATTTACATTTACATTGTAATTTTTTTGCAAGTTAAAGTGCACAATATTTAAGTGCATTATTCACGGATTCATCAATGTTAAAAAATTGCTTATTTATTACACGCCAATGACATGTTCAAATCACATGGACTTTTAATAAAAAAAGAATAAAAATAGCTTTAACAATGTTTGTTGTTTCGTTGTTATTATTAATAAATTACAATCACGTCTCAGTCAAGGAAAAATGAGCGATTATTCTGATTATTGGAATAAACCACTTTTTATCGTTAATAATTATATTGTCTACATTTAATGATAACAATTGTACTGTAGTTCAAGATCGCAAAATATCTTGTTAATGGCATTTTCAATTTTTCGTTAACAACATTAATTTGTTTAAAAAAGGAATCATAAATATGTATTTGGTATATAAGATTTATAATCACAAATTACAATTACGATTATTAAGATAAATAATTTATTTTTAGGAGTTTCGTTAGTTTGGAAATATCCTGGAAATAAGGAGGAGATATCGAATGATGCAACGAAATTTCATTATTTGAAGGATGGACAAGAATTTCACGTTGAAGGAGCAACTGTGAGGATAATGCACACCCCTGGACATACTGCAGATCATGTTGCTTTTCATCTTTTAGAAGAAAACGCAATTTTTAGTGCGGATTGTATTTTAGGAGAAGGAACAGCAGTATTTGAAAACCTGTACGATTACATTTCTTCGTTGAAAAAACTTTTAGGCGTTAATTCCTCTATTATTTATCCAGGTCATGGAAATATAATTAAGGTAGGTCGATTTTCATTTCAATTAATCCATTTATTTGCAACGAATAGATTGCTTTTTTAAATGGCAATTTCTTAAAAACTTAAACGAATTGGATTAAATAACGACCTTGAATAACTACAGTTTCAATATTACTTACTAGTTTAGTTTGTCCAGAAAAACAATAAAGAATAAAAAATATAAACAATATAAATGTATGTATAGATAGATAACAAAATAATTATTTTATAGAACCCCAAACAAAAAATTCAATATTACATCGATCATAGGATAGAAAGGGAAAATCAGATCTTAGATATTTTGAGACACAGTCCTTGTCAGCCGTTCACAGAAATGGAAATTGTTAAAATTATTTACGCTGATACTCCTGAAAAGTTGTGGCAAGCGGCAGCAGGTAGCGTTCGGCATCATCTTATAAAATTGCAGAAGGAGAATAAAGTTGATTTAATAAATAATAGGTGGCAGTATGCGATGTTATAAGAAGCGAATTTATTAACAATTTTTGACTGAAAATTAGAATTAAAATTAATATTATTTTATTATGATTATGTACCTACCAGTTTGTAATTTTAAGTAAGTGTTTGTCACGTTTATATTTTTAATTAGGTTTAATTTAATTAAGGATCTGCATAGTTTTTTGTAAGATTTTCTTTTGAATAATATACAATAAATTCAATATAAACTGTTATTTTTTCTCTTTGACGCTAAAATTATTAACAGAAGCCATAACATGCTTAAAAATTAAAAAAAAGTCCTGAAAGGGAATGTAATGCGGGGATCCCAGGATCTCAGATGCGATATGCGGGACTAATCGCGCTCGTAAATTGATTTTCGGTGAAATGGGGGTAATTGACGCAAGACGAATTTGTCCTATTATAGTGTAAGGGAATTGGATAAGGTTGCGGAGGATGAATTCCTTGCCCGAAGTAGATTACAATTTTTTTCTGGTTTCAACTTGTAATTATGAATGTACCGCAACAAACTATATCCTATTTTTTTTTATTCATTAATAACGATTGTTGCTACTAGACTGCAATGTCTGAAGCCGTTTAGCCGATGGAACAATTAATACATTAACTTAATTTATTGCACAGTTATTTTTCAAATAATTTTGAATATTTTATAACAATAATATTTAATGTAATAAGAGAATTTCATAATTAAAATTTGTTTAATGTCAGTTAAAACCTTTCGAATATGGTCTTATAGTTGATGATTTAATTACTATCGGATTCCGCGGGGACCTGGATCCCGTGGGATTGATAATGTTCAGTCCCGCAAAAATTGAGATTGAAATTATATTACGGGATTGCATTCACTAATTCTGATTTATTAATGCCTATGATAAACCCTCAGATATCAATGGCTAAAATTTTGCACAGAAGTTTCTTTTATGATGTATACAAGAAATAATGAAAGATATTTCGATAGTGAAACAAGTTACAATGTTTGTATCGAACATTTTTGTTTGTGGTCAGATGTACTTGAAACTTTGTCTTAATGTTTTTTGATGTAATTAATCGAACATTTATTCTTCTTTTTTATTATTATTTTAAATTCTTGGAAACTGTGCTTATAATTAATATAGTATGCAGAATATATAATAGGGCAATATTTTGCTGGTGGGACTTACAGGAGTAAATAAAAACTAGGATCTATAGAAAAATAGATATATAATTTTTTAAACGATACCAGCATGACAAACAGATGGAATATTAAAAAAAATGCAATAAACATACACGACGTAAAGAAATATAACAATTATTGAGTAAATATAATGTAATGAGCATTTTGTAAACCGAAGAACGCTTTTCAAGGGTACTCTACCACTATCTTACCCCTAAGATGCCCACCTGCAAGAGCTTCCATTGCCTTTGGTAATTCTATGAATTCAAAAGTTTTTTGAACTATAGGTTTAATCTATAAACAAAACATGAATACAAAATACAGTATTATTGAGTAAATCAAATAAATAAGAAAGAGAAGGTTGTGTACTAATGAAATGCACTAGTAGGTGAAGCAATAATGTTATTAGAGGAAGAGAAAGCATCAGGAATCTACTCAAAGTATGTTTGTTAGGAAGCTATTCGTGTGGGAGACAGAGTCCAGACCCATAACTATGATAAATGAATCACTATTATTAATTTGTACAAACCTTCCTTTGCTCTACTAATTTGTTGATATAAGTTAAGCCTTGAGGATTTGGGCTAAAAAATCCCCATTGTACGGAATGACCTTTCATCCAAGATGATAGGTTTGTTCTAACATAGCTACCGACACTTAAAATAAGACCAGGAATTGTACCATACCAATCTGTGTAATTTGCTACAGGGGGATCAAGACCGATGTAAATGGCATATTTCCACAGATCCGGTAGTTTGTCAACCCCATAATTAGCACAATCTAGTATAACATCATATCTACAAGATTTATTATCGTAATTAATGAGTAATGAGCAAATTATTATTTCGGCAACACAGAAATACATATAAATGTTCTCAAGTTAATGTAATTACGACTTTGTTATCTTTAATAAATATTCATTCGAAGATTTTTAGAAGCTTCATTAGTTACATAAAAGAATATCGTAACGCACAAATTAAGATAACAAAATGCGTACAATTTATTGTTATCATAAGTCAAATGTCAATAATCAATCGAATGTTCCTGATTAAAGTTTTGCAAACCACGTGGAAACGTTAAACGATGATACAATGTTTTAACGTTTTAAAGATAAACAAGGGTTGGAAACCGTGTGATTGTTGAATGATAAACATTGATTACTTGTGGTCTATTCATTCAGCAGTTCGATGTATTAACTATCATGGCGTTTTGAAACATGGCGGATAAAATTCAAAAATTTTATGCATTATATTCTGCCAAAAGAACAATCCGAAATTTTAAAGATTCTTGATTTAAAATGAAATAAATGTAGCAATTTGGACAATTTGGCAATTTCAAAATTAGTTACTCCAGAGTGTTAGGTCTCAATTACAATTTCTTTTACATTTTTATCAAAGTATCTTTCAAAATAAATATTTACGAAATATTACTGTAGTTATTTGAATTTAAAATTCTGGAATTTCGAACATTTTATGAATGTTAAGGATTCTGCATTTTTAAATTCAAAAACTTAATTTTTTGAAATTTAAATAAGCATTCCAATCAGAAACTTGTGATTATCGATTATTAGACAATGTGAATAGAATTTGTAAAATAAGTGAATACGAAAATTGGATTTAGGAAATTCAAGCAAGTTACTTAATAAATACATATTTTCACGTGTAAATGAATTCTGTAGGGTCATACAAGCGTTTTGATTTCCGATGTTTATCAAAACGCTGTCTGTAGCGTTCTCAAAAATGATTTTTGGACCGTAACAAATCAATTTTATTCAACAAGTCTTTTACGTAGATTCCAAATAAGCAATAAAAAATATTCATGTCCTATACAAAAAATAAGTACCTATATTTTAGTTAATTCATTTAAAGAATTTTATTTTGATGTGAACTCACTTTCCAACATTAGCCACATCTCGTGCGTAATTTTCATCCCGATAATTAAATACATAATCGGCTCCTAAGGAACGAACTAAAGGAACTGCATCAGCGGAACATGTTCCAACGACCTAAGAAATTGTAAAGAAATTATAGTGGAAAAAATATTTTCCGTACTCTTAAATGCAATGCAATGCAAATAACAGTTCAAAAGTTTATAAGATAGAATTTCACTATAATTCTATTGCAGAAGGACTGTCTTTGTATTCTCGTGGTTTCTGTTTCATTTTCAAAGAATTTTACCGACAAAAACTAATCCTGCTATTGTGAAATAACATTTTTCTCCTTTAATTTTCTTTTTCCGTATTTTTTTCTTGCTTTTTAACATATTAAACTATAATAAAGAGACACTTTCTTCGTTTTCTGATACCAATCATATACATATTTAAAATTTAAAATGAAAGAGCAATTACGTATCGTTAATTAAAATTTAATTTCGTTGGGAAAAGATTCAAATTCCTATTATACGTAAAAGAGCAATCACTTTTTATTACACAAAACCTTACCGTTGCACCTTCTGATTTGACTATTTGAACAGCCTGGGTTCCAACTCCACCAGACGCACCAAGAATCAAAACTTTAGTATCCGGATATTTTAAATTATGAAATTTGCCAGAAGGATATAAAGCCGACCAGGCTGTCATAGCAGTGTAGAGTATAGAAGCTGCTTCAGTAAATGTTAAATGGTCAGGTATTTTTAAAATCTGAAATGTATTTTTTGACTGCTAATATTGTGGTACATATATTTTTTTATTTTAAATTCAGCTGAAGATAGTGATAACCTAAATTTAATGAACACGTGCGTTCGATGTGGACGGGTTTAACTAATAAAGTAATAACGAGAAAGAATTGTTATATTTTACCCCACCCCTTTTATTATCAACGACTTAATAATAAAGATAATTAATTTGATGTGAAATTCAGGTTAATTTTTTTTATAGTAAATGCAACATTAACATTGAACGGTATGGCAGCTGTTATTCCTGCTGTATCAAAATTGTCTTCGAGAGTTATAAGAATCCTGGGATGTAATCCAAGTCCGATGACTTTGCAAGGGACCAATACTTATATTGTTGGTACCGGTAAAAGGTAAGCATTTAAAATCCCTAAAAAATTTTAACGTCAACATATTATAAAAGAGAAGATATACATTGAATTTATATTTATTTTTTAATTTAAATGCAGGTTTATTTGTCTACTATTTGATATTTTTTAAACATGCGTTTGATATGTTTTCTGATAGTTACCTACATTTTGAAATTGAATAAAAACATGAATACGAATTTAAAACTTCAACCTAATAAAAAATAATNGAGTGAAAAAAATGAAACTGCTTGCAAAAATTGCTATAAAAATATAATAAAATAACTTTTCCAGTGGGTATGTATTATATTCTTGGTTGTCTAACGAAAACTTAAATGCGTATGATAAGCAGAATAAAAAAGCAGACACTGAAAATTGCAAAAATGAAAAGTTCATCGGTTCATCGTTCATCTATTGTGAATAAATTGATTTGAATATTTCTTACAACACATAAAATGCATTTTAACTTCCTTATCTTGTCTATTATTTTACATAATTGTTTATCTATGTGTGTGTTCTATTCTTGTACATTTCTATTTATTTGTGTTCTATTTTAAAACTGAAACTCTTGTTGTTCATTACATTACATATTAACTGGTTCGTTTTATGGAAAGGATCCGGGTTCATTACAGTAAATGACAATATAAGATTGAGAAAATATGCACGCTAATTACAGAGATACGTTTAATTGTGATAGTTTGAAAATTATCTGTGTTTATGGTAATTTAAAGCAACTAATTATATTGGAATAAGATTTCGTACTTTATGCAAAAGAAAAGAAAAACAGTCTTACTTATCATTAAGTTATCGATTGGGTTAACTGAGGCTGCGCTAACTTTAACAAGAACTTCGTTGCCATCTCTTATCACTGGGATACTAATTGACTTTAGTTTTAAATCCTTTATTTGCCCATATGAATCCATCACCCACGCTCTGTGCGTCGATTCAATATCGCTGTTTGCCATTTTTACAAAATTATCACTTGATATTAAAAAAGCTATTATAGCACTAACGATGAGAACTAAAATATACATAATTTTATTTAGTTGATGTACCTGTTGTGTATATGCATTAAAAATAGTGAATTAGAGGATTTATTACATTTTAGCGACATTATGACGGACAGACCCACAATGAGTGAGAGAGTTGTGCAATGTAGCGAATGCCTTGTCCTTGGTAAGAAAAATGTGTTAATAGGAGTTGTAGTCCTTAATTAAAATGTAAAAGCTGATTTTATTAATGACCTTTAGAATAAAATACACATCCAATATGGTTTGCTATCCTGTATAATTTGGAGTGGCTTTACAGAAAATTATTTAAGTATCATGCAATGACTTGTAGAAAAAAATTCAGCGATTCAATTAAAATTTTAAACAAGTTTCAAAATCCTTATTTATCTACAGCACGTGTATAAAAATTATAAATTTATATTTTTCATTCACTAATCTAAATATTTAAGCTATAATATAAACTTTTCTCTAACATTCGAATCTCCTTTCAAGAATTATTAGAAGTGCGCTATCACTAACGTTAAAACAAAATGAAGGCGAAGACATTCATCGATTTTTATCAAAAAAAAAAAAAATTAAGCCCGGCTGATTTTTTAATTTAGAAATTATGGAATAGAAGGTATACTTATCACGAACAGAAAAATTACCATGCTCATTACTATGAGTGCAAGAAATAGGTATTGACAAAATTCAATATTAGACCAACAATTACAAACTATACTGGAAACTACAGGAATTTTCACTGTACTAACAAGGTATTTGTCAGAGAAAGACACCTAGATTATGAGACAGCAGGGTAATTTTTCTTTCCGTAGTACGTATTGTTCAGTTTTAATCATAACTTACCAAAATATTAAAATTTTGCAATGAAAAACAGGATATTCACTTTCTCGGTTATCTACACATTAAATTAACTTCATTACTCAGCAGATTAGCCAGAGATAATAATACACTACACATACACAAGCATTCTGAATATCAATTAAATGACAAATAATTTTTTTTATGTTGCATGAAATATATTCGCGATTTCACGTTGTCTGCTTTTGTAATGTTTAACATCAACAAACGTTTACTATTATGTCAGAAACAATTTCATTCAATTGTCATCTTACAATGTGGATAAACTAGATACTCAAGGCGGTGTATGTAACACTCTTGAGGTTGTATGAAGGTCAATGGCTTAACGTCAAAATAAAATTAGCCGGCTTTCGTTAGATTGAGACCACGATGACGGTGTTATTTAAATGCTTTTAAACGTTATAAAAAAATATTCTCTTTTGGGTATAATTAATAAGAATAAGCAATTTTTAAACGATGTAAAGTGGGTATTAATAAAACAACAATGATTAGTTATCTTATTCAAATAAACAATTCTTGAATTACTGACTACATGTTTTATACATAAATGACTTTAAAATTACATTTTTTCAATTTACTGTGGACAAATAAATAGTATAATAAATAACTTTAAATTAGCATTCTGGAGTGTTTTGGACTTTTTACAGTTAACGAAATGTTTCTTATATTTACCGTTTATTGCTATAAAAAAGTTGGGAATTAACATATTTATTTTAGGTAATTTCGGCGATGGCGACTGGTTTTGAAAATTCTTTCCTTTTTCGAGAAACAATAGTTTATATATATATACTTTGCAGATTAACATGTCGCATTTTTTACAATTAATAAATTAAGCTTTCGGTAGAAATTGAGAGTAATATGTTTTATTATAGATTTTAATTAATCGAGCGTACTACCCATCATTTTCTCTCCGAATGCTCACTCTCTCTACCTGAACGCCAAGACAACTCTGTTCTCGTGTTAAGAAATCAATTTCTTCTAACATTTTTGAACAAATTAAACATACTATTGGTTTTTTATATATATTTTACCGGTTCTTGATATGAAAAATTTGGGAATTAGCATATCTACCCTAATATATGGGTAGCTGATTTCGATAATTAACAATCAAAGTTGAAAACTCATCGATTGTTTGAAAGCTATACCATTGTCGAGGGTTGTAGTCGATTTTTCATATTTTTTATTTATAATTAAACTGTTTCTATATTAAAGAATACTTCTATCTTTTTCTCAAGCGCAGTTTTCTTTCTTTTACTCGGAATACTTGTTCTGTTTAACAGTCGTATCCGTAAACGGTCGAACGAGAGAAAAACTCATTTTGTTGACAATATTTAAAATGGAAAATAGAATTTTTTTTTAAAACACATGTTTTATTTGTATAAAGTAAGTTTCTTTTTGGTACTTGTGTTACAAAAGGAATGTATTCATTTGTCTAAAATGAGGGCACCTAATATCGGAAATTAACAATCAAAGTTGAAAACTCATCGATTATTTGTCGAGGGTTGTAGCCGATTTTTCGTATTTTTTATTTATAATTAAACTGTTTCTATAGTTAAGAATAGTTTTACCTTTTTCTCAAGCGCAATTTTCTTTCTCTTACTCCGAATACTTGCTCTCTTTAACAGTCGTATGGTCAAACGATCGATCGAGAGAAAAACTCTTTTGTTGGCTATATTCAAAATGGAAATTGGAAATTTTGTTTGAAAATTAATGTATCTTTGTATAAATTAAACTTTTTGGTACTTGTATTTCAAAGGGAACGTATTAATTTGTCTATTACGAAATGCGCGGAGACTAATTTCGGAAATTTATAACGAAAATTAAAATATCATTAATTGTATTAATCGTATACCTTATCTTTGTCATCATCATCATGAGGTCGTCAGTCCTAAGACGTTTTCTTCCTATGATATACGACCTCCTGCTGCTGTTTATTGTCTAAAAGAAATGTGTTGATATGCGTTATTTGAATTAACACATTATTCAGTGGAATTAGCGCAATAAAATTAAACTCGAAATTAAAGTCGAATTCATTTTACTGAAACCTCATATATTGGCTCCTTTGGTACATCTTTTTATTTTGTGATATAGTTTTATTTATCACATAAACGTTTTTTTGTTCTTTCAAGGCGATGTATACTTGTCTGTGTTTTTTCATGACTGATAAAAGCGAATTCGTCGTTATCAAAACGGCTTGCTTCGCCAAAGAATGAAAGAATGAGATAGATATAATGAGAGTAAGAAAGAGATGGAAATTGAAACATTTCCTGTAAAAGAAAAATACTTCGGTGTCCAGATCCGATCTAACACGAACAATAGAAATTAATATTACAAGTTACTGTTATTATTAATTCGGCGCCATGTTAATGGGTAGTATCGATTGCTATTAATTATTGAATTATCGCGTTAGTTTTCGTAAATTACTAAAGAAAACTTATCCGATATCGTGTTGTACAATCATCAATGTGAATTTCAACAGTGATTGGAGCGAAAGTTGCACTTACGATTTGGATTACGAAAAGTGGTGAGTGATTGAAATAAGAGTTATCATCTGTTTTGTTCTTTACCTTGCATGATCGTCATCGTTAAATTTAGTGTTTGTTATGTTATAAATAAAAAGGGTGCTCCTTAATTATTACATTAGGAATGCCTCAATTTGATAACAAAGACTGAATCCAAACGCGCAAGTACTAGTTGTTGTATGATTGCAATTGTGAACACTGAATTACACAATAGTTTTAATTAAGATTTTCTTTTATTAGAACAAAATATATTTTTATGAATGATCTTTACGAACTTTTGTGAATTACGTAAAAGAATTTTGGTTTTATTAATTAATTTTTATAAAATAGCATGTACGTAAGTTTTCAAATTCGAAATTTTGTACCACTATTTGAACAAAATAATTATTTTTACTTTGTAATAGTATAAAACAAAATTGGTTTACTTTTGTTTTCGTAATTTAAGTATTTTTTCGGAGGGTAAACTAAAAAAATCTGTAAAATTAGTATTTGCAAACAGTTTTCAAAAAAACTATTCTACAATTTTCTTATAATTTACATTTGTCACCTAACCAATACAAAGTTTGTTTAAAATTTCGTATAATAGGCGNCCTACAATTAAATACTAGAAGAGCAAAAATGCAAAAAAGTGACTTTTCATAAAACATAAATACTTTTATTGGATTATGAAATGAGAAATGAATTTTTGTTATAAATTAAAGCGGATTTAAATTTTTTAGCTGTAGCTGACTTATATTACAATGAATTTATTCGTAACTGTGAGTTTTAGTTCAAAAGCTCTCCGTACTACGGTCGTCGATTGCGCCAGCAGTCTTTTGTACTGTGTCCTCTAACGTGTAACATAGTGGAAAATTCCGCAGTTGCTTACTATTTTCTGGCGTTAATGTGTTTTCGTGAAATCGTTTCCTAAAAATTGGAATTTTGCCGGTGGACAGCGAAATATGTAGTGCAATTAAAAGGGAAATAAGTAGTTATATCAATTTTTGTGTTTGCTAGTCTTGTGGACATTATGAAAAATGATATTAATAAAAACATTATTTGTTGTTGTCAACATAGAATTTGTTACCCACGGATAAAACCAATACAATATTTTGTGTAATGTAGGGCATTAAGAAGTACCCACTAATGAATTAAAACTACTTTCCGGTAAGTTTTGACATTTGATCATTGTTCTCAAATTTTCGATAATTAGGAAACAATTTTGAAATTTTTTCTTCGATAAGACATTTATTATGTTATTCTTTCATTAATTTCAGAGTAGATCATTTACAAATTTAAGCATATTAATTAAATTATGGAACTGAAATTGAAAACTCTTCCACTGTTATAAGGTTTGCCCATAATCGAGGTGGTTGTAGCCAATTTTTAATATTTTTTAAATTCAATAATGCACTTTTTGTGTTATAAGTAATATAGTCTTTCTTTAAGCGTAATATTCTATCTTTTATTCCCCGAATACTTGCTCTCTTTAACAGTGGTATGCTTGAACGGACGACCAGGAGAGCAAAACATTTTAATATATAAGTAGCAGTTAAAAATTTGTTTTGAATACTAATGCTTTATTTTTAAATAAATTAAACTTTTTTAAATTTGTATTGCAAAGAGAATGTGTTAGTTTGTCTATTGTGTAATATGTGGGTACTAATTTCGGAAATTAACAACTAAAGTTGAAAGCTCATTGATTGTTTGAAAGATATTACAGAGATAGTCGTAGTCAATTTTTCGTATTTTCATTCGTATTAAAGCACTTTTTATAGTCAGGAATTGTTTTACCTTTTTCTCGAGCGTAATTTCCTTTCTTTGTTTTCCGAATACTTGCTCTGTTTATCAGTAGTATGCTTGAATGGTCGACCGAGAGAACAACTCTGTTTGCTTAAAAATTGTAATTATTCAATAAGAATTTATTAATCAAAATTTTATTTTTTTAGTGGTTTGGTACAGATATTTCACCTCTTTAACTTAACATTCATAAATTTTGTTTGTCAATCTCAGTTTATGATTTTCATACTTTAGCGTTTGCTCTTTTCGATTATTTAAACATATTGTAAATTGAAATTAAAATAAATGAGCTACAGCTCGTTAAAAAGATACCTGTATTCACAAAATTTCTGGGATTTATTGTTATAGTGTAACGTTTTCTATTTTTGATACAATTCAATGCTGTACCTTTACCTACAATTAAATACTAGAAGAGCAAAAATGCAAAAAAGTGACTTTTCATAAAACATAAATACTTTTATTGGATTATGAAATGAGAAATGAATTTTTGTTATAAATTAAAGCGGATTTAAATTTTTTAGCTGTAGCTGACTTATATTACAATGAATTTATTCGTAACTGTGAGTTTTAGTTCAAAAGCTCTCCGTACTACGGTCGTCGATTGCGCCAGCAGTCTTTTGTACTGTGTCCTCTAACGTGTAACATAGTGGAAAATTCCGCAGTTGCTTACTATTTTCTGGCGTTAATGTGTTTTCGTGAAATCGTTTCCTAAAAATTGGAATTTTGCCGGTGGACAGCGAAATATGTAGTGCAATTAAAAGGGAAATAAGTAGTTATATCAATTTTTGTGTTTGCTAGTCTTGTGGACATTATGAAAAATGATATTAATAAAAACATTATTTGTTGTTGTCAACATAGAATTTGTTACCCACGGATAAAACCAATACAATATTTTGTGTAATGTAGGGCATTAAGAAGTACCCACTAATGAATTAAAACTACTTTCCGGTAAGTTTTGACATTTGATCATTGTTCTCAAATTTTCGATAATTAGGAAACAATTTTGAAATTTTTTCTTCGATAAGACATTTATTATGTTATTCTTTCATTAATTTCAGAGTAGATCATTTACAAATTTAAGCATATTAATTAAATTATGGAACTGAAATTGAAAACTCTTCCACTGTTATAAGGTTTGCCCATAATCGAGGTGGTTGTAGCCAATTTTTAATATTTTTTAAATTCAATAATGCACTTTTTGTGTTATAAGTAATATAGTCTTTCTTTAAGCGTAATATTCTATCTTTTATTCCCCGAATACTTGCTCTCTTTAACAGTGGTATGCTTGAACGGACGACCAGGAGAGCAAAACATTTTAATATATAAGTAGCAGTTAAAAATTTGTTTTGAATACTAATGCTTTATTTTTAAATAAATTAAACTTTTTTAAATTTGTATTGCAAAGAGAATGTGTTAGTTTGTCTATTGTGTAATATGTGGGTACTAATTTCGGAAATTAACAACTAAAGTTGAAAGCTCATTGATTGTTTGAAAGATATTACAGAGATAGTCGTAGTCAATTTTTCGTATTTTCATTCGTATTAAAGCACTTTTTATAGTCAGGAATTGTTTTACCTTTTTCTCGAGCGTAATTTCCTTTCTTTGTTTTCCGAATACTTGCTCTGTTTAACNTGTCGAGGGTTGTAGTCGATTTTTCATATTTTTTATTTATAATTAAACTGTTTCTATATTAAAGAATACTTCTATCTTTTTCTCAAGCGCAGTTTTCTTTCTTTTACTCGGAATACTTGTTCTGTTTAACAGTCGTATCCGTAAACGGTCGAACGAGAGAAAAACTCATTTTGTTGACAATATTTAAAATGGAAAATAGAATTTTTTTTTAAAACACATGTTTTATTTGTATAAAGTAAGTTTCTTTTTGGTACTTGTGTTACAAAAGGAATGTATTCATTTGTCTAAAATGAGGGCACCTAATATCGGAAATTAACAATCAAAGTTGAAAACTCATCGATTATTTGTCGAGGGTTGTAGCCGATTTTTCGTATTTTTTATTTATAATTAAACTGTTTCTATAGTTAAGAATACTTCTATCTTTTTCTCAAGCGCAGTTTTCTTTCTTTTACTCGGAATACTTGTTCTGTTTAACAGTCGTATCCGTAAACGGTCGAACGAGAGAAAAACTCATTTTGTTGACAATATTTAAAATGGAAAATAGAATTTTTTTTTAAAACACATGTTTTATTTGTATAAAGTAAGTTTCTTTTTGGTACTTGTGTTACAAAAGGAATGTATTCATTTGTCTAAAATGAGGGCACCTAATATCGGAAATTAACAATCAAAGTTGAAAACTCATCGATTATTTGTCGAGGGTTGTAGCCGATTTTTCGTATTTTTTATTTATAATTAAACTGTTTCTATAGTTAA